ACTACAGGCATGCGCCATCATGCCCAGCTAATTTTTGTATTTTTAGTAGAGACCGGGTTTCATCACATTGGACAGGCTGGTCTTGAACTCCTGACCTCAAGTGATCCACCAGCCTCAGGCTCCCAAAGTGCTGGGATTACAGGTGTGAGCCACCTCGCCTAGCTATTTGTTTTTTAAAAATATTGCTGCGTGTGGTGGCACATGTCTGTAATCCCCCTACTAGGGAGGCTGAGACAAGAGAATCACTTGAAACTGGGGGACGGAGTTTGCAGTGAGCCAAAATGGCACCACTGCCCTCCAGCCTGGGTGATGAAGCGAGGCTCTGTCTCAAAAAATACATACATATATTAAATAGGAAAATAAAAACAGGCCAGGTATGGCGGCTCACTCCTGTAATGCTAGCTGAGGTGGGTGGATCACGAGGTTAGGAGTTCAAGACCAGCCTGGTCATCATAGTGAAACCTCGTTTCTACTAAAAATATAAAAATTAGCCAGGGATGGTGGCTCACGCCTGTAGTCTCAGCTACTCCAGAGGCTGAGGCAGGAGAATCACCTGAACCCGGGAGGTAGAGGTTGTGGTGAGCTGAGATCACCCCACTGCACTTCAGCCCAAGAAACAGAGTGAGACTCCATCTCAAAAAAAAAAAACCAAATAACAAATAAAAAAATAAAACTATACCATCCTGCCTTCTATGTCACAGTTTATGAAAAATAGAAAGAAAAAAATAACATTTTTTCTTGTGAATAAAAAGGAGTTTATATTTGTATAGATATAGATATAGATTACACTCAATTACAAGGACAAGATAAAGGAAGGAAAAAAACTCAACCAGGCGTGGTGCTCACGCTTGTAATCCCAGCACTTTGGGAGGCCGAGGTGGGTGGATCATGAGGTCAGGAGTTCAAGACCAGCCTGTCCAATGTGATGAAACCCCGTTTCTACTAAAAAATACAAAAATTAGTAAGGAGGCGTGGTGGTTCACGCCTGTAGTCCCAGCTACTTGGGAGGCTGAGGCAGGAGAATCGCTTGAACCCAGGAGGCAGAGGTTGCAGTGAGCTGAGATGGTGCCACTGCACTCCAGCCTGGGCGAAAGAGACTCCATCTCAAAAACAAAAATAAAAAAAACCTCAACCTATATTTTCATTACAGAGATACTCTGCAGATAAATCACTGTCACTGAATTGTTTTGGAATATTTCTTTCAAGTCATTGTCCATTACATGTATCTACCTGTCTGTATGTGCATATATATATATATAT